GGTAATGACCAATCGATGATAATTTTGTCGAGGTCAAGCCCTAGACGGCCCATACTCTCCATTATTTCATAATAGTGCTTACTGTCAGATGGCCTTAAGACAGCAAACGACGCGACGTCTAGAAATTGGCCTGGCCAAAATTATCATTGTTTGTCATTTCCCAACCGTCTTTCACGCCGTTTTTTTTCGATTAAACTGTTGTTTGCCCGATAGGATGGAAGTTTTATTTGCTTTTATGTATATCCCCGTTTACTAAGAGTCAAAATTATAAATTATTACAACATATTTATATTTTTATTAATACCGTAATTAAATTTAAATACTCTTTACTGATTTATAAACAGAAATTTAGATATTAAATGACGTAGAGAAAATTATCCAGTCTTGTAATTATTGTATTACGAAATGCTGTTTAAAGTTTTGAAATCCTTTTCTTTATCAATCATGCGTGGCGATTCTAAAGAACTAAGATAAGAGTTTATTGCAATGTGGAGCGGTACATTTTTGATGTTGAAGAAGTAATTTATTCCAAGCTGATGAGAATCTATATCTATACTAATATATAAAATCCTGAAGTGACTGACATACTGATTAATCACGATCCTGCTCAAACCACTCAACGTAAGAAGCTCAATTTTGGCATACAGGTTGATTCTAGGATGTAGAGGTTCGATAAAAAGGATTTTTCGAAATTCCTGTTCCAAGAGGGTGAAACCACCCGTCAAATATTACAATATTTTTTATTTCAAAAACGGTCAAGTTTCCGAAAAAACGCTTAAACACGTATATTTTATTTTGTTTTTTTACATATTTTAAGATTTTTTAAAAATGTATACAGGGTGTTTCGAAAAATCTGTTTAAGTTATTAGAAATATTATTCCACAAATGTGGCGCCATGAAACTGAAAGATTTTTGGAAGTTAGCTGTTCGGTGTTGAGGAATTTTAAAATAATGCACTTGTCTAGTCGAATGATCATGGTCAACGTAGTGAAACAATGAGAACAAATAGAGAGGCTGCTCTGTAGTTAAAATTCTGTTAGTCATGGATAAAATAGATAAATTTTTAAGATGTGGCGTTATATGATGTGTAAAAGGAATGTTAAAAGAAAACCGTAGACACGAGTTTTGAAGTATTTGGATTTTTCTAGAGAATCTAGCGTTTATGGATGTACCATAAACAACATCGCCATAATCAAATAAAGATAAAATAAGGGTGTCACATAATTGATACTTAGTCTTTGATGGTATATATTTCTTAAGAGACGAAAAATTCTTCAACCGTATATAAGCAGCCTTTAATTTAGTAGTTATATGTGCCTGAAAAGAAAGATTGGCATCAAAATAGACTCCAAGATTTTTAGTCTCTGTAACAATGGGTACCGCAACATTATCTATATGGATATTCATGTTACCAGCCGTATTTGTAATTTTGTATATATCACTACCAAATACTATAACACAAGATTTACCGGCATTTAATTTCAAATTATGATCCAGAGCATATTTATTAATTTTATTAAGATCGTCGTTAAAATTTAACTGAAATTGTGCCAAATTATTAGTATCTATTCTGCAATAAATTTGAGAATCATCTGCATATTGCTGCAATTCAGAAAACTGTAATTCCTTATTCATATCAGCTACATACCTATAACGAAAATAAAAGTGGCCCCGGAATAGATCCCTTAGTTTTGTTTAGAGGTAGTAAATCTAGAGTATATTGTGTCAGAACTTAAATTAACTGTTGTATTATTGCGATTTCCAGAAAAAGACAAGAGTCAAAATGGGACATTCTGTATACTGCAGATCAATAAAAAATAAAAATATTCGCGGAACTTTGAAAACAGTTTTGTTATGTTTACAAAATCGCATTTTAAAATCTCTTTCTCTTGAAATTTTATAAAGTTTGTCTTGAATTCGCGTCTTTGATTATACATATATGAATAATTACACAAGAAAATAGATATCTTATCATGTATGTCTAATTACCATGTCACTTCAGAGCAAAATGATATATAACCCAAATACAAGCAAAAAAAGGTTAAAACGTCCGCTTCAAATAGAGATATTAGAATGGATTTTACTGGATTATACCGGTTTCAGTTATTGACCTATAAGAAAATCGAAATTAATGATAGTGTAATTAACATAACTTATCAGTTTTAGTTTGCGTGTGCTATAGAATTTAGTGGTATGAGATATATCTGTGATTTTTCAAGAATATTCAAAAACGTGTCGAGTTTGGATATAATTTCTTACCAATAATACACGTATATTGACATTTCTACTAGGGTGTACCCGCGACTTCGTTCGCGTCGAATTAAGGTTGATTCTCACTATACCTTCCGTTTCCATTCCGTTCCGTGTTTTTTATTTTATTGACGCTATACGTAAGCTTCCGTTCCGTATCAGTTCCATACTTTTTATTGAAAAATTGATATCATTACGAAAGTTTTATTTTAAAAATTTGTATCTTTTGAAAAAGGTAATAGATTTAATTAAGAGGTGAAAAAATAAATAAATATCAGGAAAATGTTAACAGAGCTGGTACAAATGTAAGAACTTGACAACGCTGTTTCCGATACGCTTCAGTCCGTCCGCCATTTAGTCCGTACGTATTGTCCTATTCATTTACATTATATAAAATTTTACGTAAACGGAAAGGAAACGGAAGGGAGCTGATATGGAAGGTATAGTGAGAATCAACCTTTAATCATTGTAATGGTGATGATAAAGCAAAGCAAGAATTTCCATTAACATACAAACTGGATACAATTTTCTCACATTTATGTCAGCATGAGAAAATGTGGCGATATTATTATACAGGGTGAGGTCTTAAATAAGTGCAAATATTTTCAGGGCTGGTAGATCTCGATAAAAGAAACATATTTTCTCTTTACCATTTTTTAAATAACTATAAAATAACCGAGTTATCTAAGTTTGAAAATTTAAAAAAAAATGATTTTTTTTTAAAAAAAATTTGAGAACCACCGGATTTTTTCTGTATTTGCATCCATTATAGTGCCGTAACCATAGAGTAAAGGTGTAACTATGGTAATATCAGAGATTAAGAATTTATACCGTGGGAAAATTTGCGGTGAACAGGCAGTTCTAAAAAGTTTTCTAAAAATATACAGAGAAATTTAAAAGAAAATGCACCATTTGCAAAAAAATTTGAGAGGTAGATTTATCTCGTTGGAATTTGACTTTCGAAAAATCCGTTTGCCAAAAATAAGCTTTTTACGTCAAGCAGTTTAAGCAGAATTGTGGTTAATCAATTACCCAACTTTTTGGAACACCCTGTATGATTTTTTAAAAAAATTCAAAATATGTAAAAAAACCAAATAAATTATGCTGGTCCAAACGTTTTCCCGAAAGACTAACTGTTTTTTAAATAACAAATATTGTAATATTTGAGGGGCGTTTTCACCCTCTTGGAATTTGAGATTTGAGAAACCCCTCTTTATCGAACCTCTACACCCCATAGTCAATCCCTTTGCTAAAAATCAGCTTTAAACGTCAAGCAGTTTAAGCAGAATCGTGATTACTCAGTGGTCATATTTTATGAAACACCCTGTATAAATTTTAAAAAATCTTAAAATATGTAAAACAACAAAATAAAATTAAAGTGTTTAAGAGTTTTTCCGAAAAACTCACCGGTTTTTAAATAAAAAATATTCTATATTTGAGGGGAAATCCCCCATATAATTCGAGTTTCGAAAAATCCATTCTTATCGAACCTCTACACCCTAAAGTCAATCCGTTTTCCAAAAATCACGTCAAGCGCTTTAAGCAGGATCGTGATTAATCAATGACCAGATTTATCGAAACACCCTGTATACATTTTTAAAAAATCTTAAAATATGTAAAAAAAGAAAATAAAATATACGTGTTTAAGCGTTTTTTCGGAAACTTGACCGTTTTTTAAATAAAAAATATTGTAATATTCCACCCCCCTTTTTACCCCCTTAGGGGATGCATTTTAAAAAATCCTTTCTTATCTCACGTATACATCATAAAAGGAACCCCTGTGCAAATTTTCAGCTTTCTAGGGTTAAGGGTTTGGTCTGGGCGTTGATGAGTCAGTGATGAATGAATCAGGACTTACAGATTTATATATATAGATTAATGATTTCTTATCAAAATTCACTTGCGATAACTAGGAAATGATTGAAATAGCATCAAACTGAACACTCCAACTGGACCAGAACCGTTCTGCTTCCCAAGTGGGAACCAACATACAGCGGAATTCAAAAACCTGGAAGACTCCATCCGTAACCAGCAATGGGAATCCTCCAACAATCTAAGACACTCGAAGAAATTTCTCAGAACTTAGACCAATTTTCATCCAAATATTGACGTTACTTCAGAAATTATTTGGAAAAAATGGAAATAAAAATAAAACTTCTACACCCTGTATCTCCAAAACTAAGCATTTTGGGACATACATTTATACGAACTTTTTTACTTGTTTTTATTTGGAGAATATACAGTCGAAGTTTCCGGAATACAGTTTGGACCACCCTGTATAATGTTAAATATCTTAGAATAAGGCAGTTTTTTGGATACAGAACTTAGGATGAGACAAAATAAAATAAATTATCCTAACAATTTTATTAAACAAATATTAAAAAGGGAGATAAAAGATTTTGATACACCTAGTAATAAAATATGAAACTTTTATTTTTTAACTATTATTTTTTCTTTAGTAACTTGATTTATTTTTATTTCGTAAAAACGATACGTATAGGTATTATTATTATTATTATTCAGTATTTTGGAATTCAAAAGGATGTAATACAAAGCACGAATATTTTCTAGCAGTTCTACAACATCAAACTTGTTAAACGAATATTTAAATTAAATTATACAGTATGTCCCCCCATTGTCTTTACAAAAGGACAAACTTTTTTAATATTGATGTTTTGGGAATAATGTTTGGAAAAAAAAAAATGGAAAAGTATAATCGGGATTAACCATTTTAGAACAAGTAAACATTTTTTATAAAAAATGTATTTTTCTCAAAATGACAGTAATAAAAAAGTTTTTTTCTCTTACGAAGACAATCCGGGGACATACTGTAGATGCTAGATACTGATTTAATAATTTTTAAAAATCTTACGTTCATTATAGATATTGTTTAGGATACAGGGTGATAATATGAAAAATAACAATCAAAAATATGTTTTGAACTAAAAAAAAATTAAATTATTTATTTCCTATTGTTGATTCTGATTGCTATTTTCCAAACTCTCACCCTGTATTCATACATTATGACAAATACAATATATTTTTGCTCTTTTTTTCGTTTGACACAGTTCCAATCTTTCTTCAATATAGGCATTCATTCCTGTACTGTTTTCAATTGAATGTTATCTGGCAAATAGGACACATTACATTTTTTTCAGTAAATATCAACAATTAAATTCGTTTTAAACTTATTTTAGTCGCTGTCATCGTCAGGGTTGTGTCCTCTGTTCAATGGTCTGCGACTCTCTTCGTCTGATCCATAGATGACGTCTTCATCTGAGTCGTTTATCATGGAAAAGGCCGGGTTATCTTTTGTAATGCTCATTTCTAAAACAAAAAGCGCTTATATTACGTGCCATCTGTATGTTAACTGGGTAAACTTTATTGTAATGTTTACAGTAGTTACGGGGTGTAGACAAAAAGTAAGTAAGCATTAACCTTTGAGTAAAACCATTAAGGGAGGAATAGAATGCTAACCATGCATAAGTGATACCAATTAAACTTTAGTTACGTATTCGAGGGCGCGATTTTTAAATTCATTGTTACCAACCATGCACATATTCGGCGTCGGTCTGACTAACTGGAATTTAATGGTTTAAGTATAATTTTTTTAAAATTTATAATTTAAGAATTATCAACAGAAAATTTGATTTTTTATATGGGATACCCTGTATATTTTTAATTTATTGAAAATAATTTAAAATTACCTTTCCAAAAATATAACGCACTTGATATTTTGCTCGATTCCTTTTCGAAATATAGAGTATATAAAAATTCGCCCGCTTTACATAAGTAGGCTTTGAACGGCACCGGCTGTAATGCAAAAAAATTCTAGCGGTGATCATCAATTAAAACGAAAATAATATTTGCTATGAGAGATGCAGAATTTTATAACAATTTAAAATATATTTAACCAACGTCAACACGTTTAAACTATATCTATTAACAATAAAAATAAATAGCAAACCAAGACATCAGATTTTGCTACAGGTGTTCGACATATCAACCCTCTTCTGTTATGGACAGACGGGACAGTTTTTGAAAATTTCTCGCGGAATTCATTAACTCAGTAGGGGTGAAAGATACCCTCTCATAACTGCTAAGTATTTTTAATTCTTGTCTAGATTATACGGAAGAATAAGGAACCTTTATTCTTCCGCAAATATATCCATATGATTAGATCCATGGGCACTAAGTCAGGCGGCCTCGACGGCCAACAGCTGGGATCTTGGTTAGCTATCCAATTATTCTTGAAATTGGCTGCAAAAATTTGCTGCTAACTTCAGCTTTCAGAGGCGGTGCTGTTGTCTTGCTGGAAAAATATGTTTTCGAGTTCCATTAAAGGCATATCATCAATAAAGGGTCCAAAGCCTACTAGTTAAAAGTGGCGAACTTTTAAAAATTCTGTATTTCGAAGGGGATTATAACAAAATATCAAGTGTGCTATATTTTTGGAAAGGTAATTTTAAATTCTTTTCAGCTAATTAAAAATATAGAGGGTGTCCCAAATAAAAAATCATTTTTTCTGTTGATAATTCTTAAATTATTATTTTTAAAATAATTATACTTAAACCATTAAATTCTACGTAAAAAGGTGCTTTGAAAATGTTTTCATAGAAATACAAAATTTTCTATAGCAAAAAAGTTACAGCGATTTGTTAAAAATGCACGTTTTTGAAAAACACCCCGTAACTCCGAAACAGTAACAGATATTGATGTGCGGTTTTCACCATCATGTTTTTGATGAAAATTGAGCTCCAGACACCGATATTAGTTTTCGTCTATCTCCTATAGAAAAGGGTGTTTCCATTTAAAAACGTCGAATTTGACCCACCCTGTACAAGTTATTTTTGACAGTTGACAGGATTTTGTCTATAGTTTTGAATTCATTATTAGTATATAGTATAATTTTCAGATAAAATTTGTACAGTGTGTGTCAAAAAGTCGATGTTCTCCTTTAACATTGGAAATGATGTAGGTATTTGACTGAGTAATATACTTGCCATGAGCACTTTTGCTACTGGGTGAATATACATAAGCCATAGTATAGATATAAAAATTTAGCAACCCATAAAACGACATAAATTGGGATGAATTGTCGTAATGGGTCCCCAGCTGGGCTACAAAATTATCCTCTAACACGTCCACTCCAAATTTGGACATCGTTATGATCAGTCCTATGGATATTACGACCAGCATCAGTAGAGTTAAAAATTTCAGCCTCAAACCTGTATTTAAAAGAAAAATCTTTATTTATTAAAGATATTTTGTCTTTTTTTATGTTTTTTACCAAAAAACGGCATCGATCTTAGTTCAGAATACGCTTTCAGAATGAGATACCCCAAATAAATCAGGTATATGACTCCGAAAATGTAGAAAAATGCTTTAACCACCTAGAAAATAATACATTTTAATAAAATGCCAAAAACCAAGCCCGAAAAAGTAGCAAAATAAGCGTTTGGCATTTAACATTTCATGTAAAACTGGCTAGGTATTTTTACACAAATGAAGAAGGAAATTAAAGATAAAGGATTATACTATATCCGTATTGTAGCGCATTTTTAGACAACTTCCTTATTTTTAAGATTTTGATGGACAAATATCAACAAAATATTCCTTATGTTTGGACTAAATTTTCTCGAAAATAAAGCCATAATTTAAAATTCCGTTACAATACGGAGATAGATTGAAGTTTTGTGATTACAGTGATATATAATTTATATGGTTTTGTAACAAATTGCCTGCAATTTTATGGAAAAATATATATATATACTCTGCAAACCTTAATCAAGCCTTAATCAAAGCACGTGTGTTTGGAATTTTGGGCGTGGCTTAACACGACAGGATCGGGCTGAGCCTTAGGCAGATTTTTGAAATATTTTGAAATAAGAGAACGACCCGAAACTAATAATAAAAGCGTAATAGACTCTTAAACAGTACCAGAACACAGATACTATGAATCTTTGATATGCATTATCTCTACAAGCACTGATACTATTTGTAAATGTTCTTAGGTACTTGATGTCTTATTGGGCCATCAATTTGAAGACCATGATATTGAAGAGATAAGATTTAGGGGTCGGTACAGTATAGGCGACTTTTTCCTGAGTTTTTAAGCAGTTTTATACCACTACTTACATAGAAATTTGCTTCTGTGGTGTGATCGTATGCTGGATCGTTCAATTCTAGAAGTTTTTGCCATACGGATAACACCAAAATAGGAATATACATCATGGAAACTATGAAGAGTTTCGGAAAGTAAAAAGTACAGAATTGCCTCTCGTTCTACAAAGTATAAGGTTACGTGTTAACTAATTGTAGTAGGGGAGCTCAGTATACTAAATAGTGTAGTTCATTAAATTTATTAAAATTATACAGGGTGGTCCGGACTGTATTCTGGAAACTTCGGCAGCATATTCTACAGATAATAATAAGTAAAAAAGTTCGTATAAAGGTATGTCCTAAAATGCTTAGTTTTAGAGATACAGGGTTTCATTTTATTTCGAGTTTTTTTCCAAATAGTTTCTGAAGTAACGTCAACATTTGGATGAAAATTGGTGTCTGGTATAGTTTTTTGACAAAGAGAAATTTGATTTTGAGGTCAATATGACTCCTATTCTTAGGGGGCGTCACCTACTTGTGTTTTAACTGTTTTGAAAAACAATAACTTTTCGTCCGTACCTGTATAAATCTACTGAGTGAAAAAATATACATTTCCGTGATTTTTACGTATAAACTGCCTCTTTGTAAAAATCGCTACGAGCAACCGTTCTCAAGATATTTAGAATAGAAATAGTTAATACATTATTAACAAAAAAATGTTGAGTAGATAGTTATTTGACTGAAATCATAAATTTGGGAACTTTTTATTTTTTTTAAATTAATCATAAATTTTTTGGACGAAAAGTTATTAGGTACTCTTCAAGCCAGTTAAACAATATGTAGGTGGCGCATTCCGAATGAACAGTGCTTTCCATAAAATCAATAAAATGAAAAATATACGAAATAATATACATGTACTGATTTCTTTCGAAAATCGACAACTATGAAACTATGATCCCTTCCCCGACACAAACGTTACATTGTGAGGCAGGAAATTGTAGAGAGAAACAGAGCCCTATAACATAGGATACAACATTTTAATGAACAGTGCTTTCCATAAAATCAATAAAATGAAAAATATACGAAATAATAAACATGTACTGATTTCTTTCGAAAATCGACAACTATGAAACTATGATCCCTTCCCGGACACAAACGGTACATTGTGAGACAGGAAATTGTAGAGAGAAACAAGCCCTATAACATAGGATACAACATTTTAATGAACAGTGCTTTCCATAAAATCAATAAAATGAAAAATATACGAAATAATAAACATGTACTGATTTCTTTCGAAAATCGAGAGCTATGAAACTATGAACCCTTCCCGGACACAAACGGTACATTGTGAGACAGGAAATTGTAGAGAGAAACAAGCCCTATAACATAGGATATAACATTTTAATGAACAGTGCTTTCCATAAAATCAATAAAATGAAAAATATACTAAATAATAAACATGTACTGATTTCTTTCGAAAATCGACAACTATGAAACTATGATCCCTTCCCTGACACAAACGGTACATTGTGAGACAGGAAATTGTAGAGAGAAACAAGCCCTATAACATAGGATACAACATTTTAATGAACAGTGCTTTCCATAAAATCAATAAAATGAAAAATATACGAAATAATAAACATGTACTGATTTCTTTCGAAAATCGACAGCTTTGAAACTATGAACCCTTCCCGGACACAAACGGTACATCGTGAGACAGGAAATTGTAGAGAGAAACAAGCCCTATAACATAGGATACAACATTTTAATGAACAGTGCTTTCCATAAAATCAATAAAATGAAAAATATACGAAATAATATACATGTACTGATTTCTTTCGAAAATCGACAACTATGAAACTATGATCCCTTCCCCGACACAAACGGTACATTGTGAGACAGAAAATTGTGAATAGAAACAAGCCCTATAACATAGGATACAACATTTTAATGAACAGTGCTTTCCATAAAATCAATAAAATGAAAAATATACGAAATAATATACATGTACTGATTTTTTCGAAAATCGACAACTATGAAACTATGATCCCTTCCCCGACACAAACGGTACATTGTGAGACAGGAAATTGTGAATAGAAACAAGCCCTATAACATAGGATACAACATTTTAATGAACAGTGCTTTCCATAAAATCAATAAAATGAAAAATATACGAAATAATATACATGTACTGATTTCTTTCGAAAATCGACAACTATGAAACTATGATCCCTTCCCCGACACAAACGGTACATTGTGAGACAGAAAATTGTAGATAGAAACAAGCCCTATAACATAGGATACAACATTTTAATGAACAGTGCTTTCCATAAAATCAATAAAATGAAAAATATACGAAATAATAAACATGTACTGATTTCTTTCGAAAATCGACAACTATGAAACTATGATCCCTTCCCCGGACACAAACGGTACATTGTGAGACAGAAAATTGTAGAATAGAAACAAGCCCTATAACATAGGATACAACATTTTAATGAACAGTGCTTTCCATAAAATCAATAAAATGAAAAATATACGAAATAATATACATGTACTGATTTCTTTCGAAAATCGACAACTATGAAACTATGATCCCTTCCCCGGCACAAACGGTACATTGTGAGACAGAAAATTGTGAATAGAAACAAGCCCTATAACATAGGATACAACATTTTAATGAACAGTGCTTTCCATAAAATCAATAAAATGAAAAATATACGAAATAATATACATGTACTGATTTCTTTCGAAAATCGACAACTATGAAACTATGATCCCTTCCCCGACACAAACGGTACATTGTGAGACAGAAAATTGTGAATAGAAACAAGCCCTATAACATAGGATACAACATTTTAATGAACAGTGCTTTCCATAAAATCAATAAAATGAAAAATATACGAAATAATATACATGTACTGATTTCTTTCGAAAATCGACAACTATGAAACTATGATCCCTTCCCCGACACAAACGGTACATTGTGAGACAGGAAATTGTAGAGAGAAACAAGCCCTATAACACAGGATACAACATTTTAATGAACAGTGCTTTCCATAAAATCAATAAAATGAAAAATATACGAAATAATATACATGTACTGATTTCTTTCGAAAATCGACAGCTATGAAACTATGAACCCTTCCCGGACACAAACGGTACATCGTGCTACAGGAAATTGTAGAAAGAAACAAGTCCTATAACATAGGATACAACATTTTAATGAACAGTGCTTTCCATAAAATCAATAAAATGAAAAATATACGAAATAATAAACATGTACTAATTTCTTTCGAAAATCGACAACTATGAAACTATGAACCCTTCCCGGACACAAACGGTACATTGTGAGACAGGAAATTGTAGAAAGAAACAAGCCCTATAACATAGGATACAACATTTTAATGAACAGTGCTTTCCGTAAAATCAATAAAATGAAAAATATACGAAATAATATACATGTACTGATTTCTTTCGAAAATCGACAACTATGAAACTATGATCCCTTCCCCGACACAAACGGTACATTGTGAGACAGGAAATTGTAGAGAGAAACAAGCCCTATAACATAGGATACAACATTTTAATGAACAGCACTTTCCATAAAATCCAAATATTGACGTTACTTCAGAAATTATTTGAAAAAAATCGAAATAAAAATGAAACTTCCACACCCTGTATCACCGAAACTAAGCATTTTAGGACATTTATATGAACTTTTTTACTTATTTTTATCTGCAGAATATGCTGCCGAAGTTTCCGGAATACAGTTCGGACCACCCGGTATATTGATTTTTTAAGTATCTATTTTAAAATATTGATACAATTCTTTACAAATTACGCACCTGTCTTAGACCATGGTACACGCTGAGCCAGAACAAAAACAACCCACCAAGGAAGTTGGCTTGCAGCAATGCGTCCAGCAATCCGGGAAGCCAGGAACTGATCAGAAATATTGCTGGAAATAGTGGATCTGAAATTTAGAAGTGTTAGGCGATTGGGTGGATATAAAACATTACAGTACTGTTGAAAGATGCACACAATGGTAGAAGCAGGGCTAGCCATTTTTGCTCGAACGACCAACAATGGACGGGATATTTTTTCAAAGAGTTGTAAAACCAACACTGAAAAGAAAACATTGTATGGTATTCTTGTGGTTAGGTTTATTTATATTATAGACAAACTTACCATTATGGAGAAAGCTGCGATGAGGAATATGAGTCGAAACCATACTTCTATCTCGGTGAAGTCAGGATTATATGTTTTGAACTGAAACATATAATAGGATAATATATTATAGGAAAACCCTATATATTAATTGATTTTCGGATTCTAGAAAAAAAGATAAGTTTTATTAAAGAAGCATATACCTAAAATCTAAGCATTTTGACATATTTTACATTTTGTGAAAATGAAGAGTAAATTTTAAATTTTGGTAACAGCTACCTAAATTTTAGTTGACCTTGTATAGTCTGATATTTAATTACAGTAACCATTTTATGTTAAACTGAAGTGACATGGATTCTCTATTGAATAGCGGAATAATATACTGGGTGTTCCACGTAAAATAAAAGAGTAACATGCTTTTAAAGGTGACCAATGTTCAATATTAATTTTGTCTCACCCTGTATCTTAACTTTTAACTTTTTCGATCAAGTTTTAATTTGACTTAAAGTACAATAGTTAATTTAACTACATATTAGGCTATACCGGGTAAATTCCAATTTAGGTAGCTTTTATTGTAATTTAAAAATTGTTCTTTATTTCTGGAAAATGTTAAATATGTCAAAAACCTTACATTTTAGTCATATACTTCCCTTATAAAACTCACCTCTATTTTTCTCCTAGAATCCGAAAATCGATTAATATATAGGGTGTGCCATTACAAAAACCACAACTTTGATATGTAACTTTTTTTGGGGACACCTTGTAGAACTCTCTATATTTTTAAAAGGTGCTCTGAATTAACCTATATTGCTCACAAAATTTCATTTCAATACAAACTGTCGTTCTCCTTGGAGCCTCCGCGGCGTATAAGAGGCGTCACCCTGTACAATTTTCACATTTTTTTTTCGTAAACCGGTATTTATCAAAAGTAAATTACTTACGTAAAATATAAGTTCCTTGATTGTGTATCTCGAATGAAACGCCTCCAAATTGTAAAATTTCACCGTCACCATGTAATGAGTGTATCCCAAATATCCCAAATGCATCACTGTGAATTCGTCACAGTCCTGCGTTTCACAGTGTAGGTGTCTGCTCCTAAAAATGGTCATTTTGGTCATCAATCATCAATTAATTGGCCTTGAACTCACCTATTTTCGTGAAAATACGTGGAATCCAAATTTATGGGCTTGTGTTCCTCAGACAAACCAGATAATGATACAGAAATGTCAAATTCTTTATCTATTATTTCACCTAAAAAATAAAAAAAAAACGTATTTTCCAAATAAAATATCTGTTTTATGAAAAGACTGGATATGGATTCTTTTGAGACAAATTAGCCAGTTTTTTTACCGTCAGTGTTATCTGTAGTCAGCTTCGCTATGATCCATAACTGCTGATTGTAAGTCGTCATCTTGGGCGTTTTCATAATAAAAGGGCCAGTGGCAATAGCCTTTTTGTTGATTCCGTTGCTATTGTTCACTTCTGGCAATAAGGAAAGCGCATCGATCTTTTTGACAGATGTTATAGGAGGACCTGGATTAATTCATTAATGTTTGATGTCTGAATAATATACAGGAGTTGGTCATATAGAGGGTGTTTCAAAACAAATGCGAAAAACTTCAGGGGGTGATTCCTTGTTCAAAATAAAGGGTAGTTTGCTTCATAAACGTTGGGTCAAAAGTCAACCATTAGGGAAATATCGCGGTACAAAGATGGCGGAAAAATAATGTTCTTATTTTTTATCTTGAAAACAAAAAGAGATAGACTGATGAAATTTTATGGAAGCATTACTGTTATGAAAACACACTTTCTGGTAATTTTTTCACTTTTATAAAATGAGTGGAAGGGGTTGAAATAAACTACCCCTATCATTCTTGTTAACGAAATTTAAAGAAAAATCTTATCAAACACATGCAAAAAAATTAATTTGGATAGTTTAGTTTGTTTAGAAACTTTTTTATCTCTAGTATTTTTTTTATAAAACTCACCGATTTGAAATTAAAAAATAAAATGTAAAGCATTACATGTCAGGACTAAAAATATTTTTAGATTAAGAATCTAGTGATAATAATGATAATAATAATAATCTAGATAATAACGTATTGCAGTAGGGTAATGTCAAATAAAACAATATTAGAAACATCCTAAAAAGTGACAGCGGCCGAGTAGATTTTTCCTAAAAAATTACAGCTGCCCACTAGATTCTTTATCTAAAAATGTTTTTGTTCTGACATGTAGTGCTTTACATTTTATTTTTTTAATTTCAAATCAGTGAGTTTTATCAAAAAAACACAAGAGATAAAAAGTTTCTAAATAAACTAAACTATCAAAATTAATTTTTATTTGCATGTGTTTGATAAGATTTTTCTTTAAATTTCATTAAAAAAAATGAAAAGTTACTTTCAACCCTTCCACTCATTTTAAAAAAGTGAAAAAATTACTAGAAAGTGTGTTTTCATAACAGTAATGCTTCCATAAAATTTCATTAGTCTATCTCTTTTCGTTTTCAAGATAAAAAATAAAAACATTATTTTTCCGCCATCTTTGTACCGCGATATCTCCCTAATGGTCGACTTTCGATCCAAGGTTTATAAAGCAAACTACCCTTTATTTTGAACAAGGAATCGTCCCCTGAAGTTTTTCGCATTTGTTTTGAAACACCCTGTATATACCATACAACCATGGACATATTCGGCTAATTGACTAACTAGAATTTAAATTTCCCGCTGGGGATTCAGTTGGAAAAAAAATGCCAAGTTGCCACGTTTATTTATTTATTTCCTAACATTGGCAATCGTTTTGACACTTGTATTACGAGTTTTTGGTTTAAATAAATTGTGTTGTAATCATAATTTTCTTTAAGCATAATTTTTTTTACTAGCAAACCTTGTAGTTGAACATTGTTCTTTTTAGAACCTCTTTTAGTACAAAATGTACAAGATAGCTTAATAGCCGTAAAAAACTCATCGCAACTTTATTAGAATATTTTGAACGGAAAAGCGGTAGTAATGGCTCTTTATGTCCGTTAAGTGCTGTTAAGGAGGTGAGTTTTGTTGATGTAAATAAAAACTGTTTATATATTTATAATTCATTTATTTTTGTTTTCTAAAATATTCTGATTAAAAGAAAATATGTAAAAGTGGGCAACGATGTGCCGGTTAAGCTTAATCACGTGACTAAAAGTTTGTTTGATATGAACTATAGGTATCACAGTTAGCCTGGGCCAAGATGTCAATCATATATTGGATTTTGTTAGTATTTCACAGAAAGCCTTGGGCTTTTACTCTGAGCAAGCCTCAGAGCAGGTGCATCATTCCTTTAAGTTGTTCTCAAAAAACTTTAATTCAAATCCGAGATCAAAAAACTATCAAAAAAATCTTCTTAGGAGTGTTGCTTCCTACAACAGTAACCGTGTTTAAAAATTATTTATTTACTTATAGCTAGTACCTAATTGTTTTCTTCCTTTTTAGTCTAAATTCAGTGTGTGTTAAAGTTATTAATTGTACTTCCTTAATTGTTAGTTTGTAGTTTTACTTGTTTACTAATACTTATGATCATAAAGTAAAATTTTATCACTAAAATATTAGAGAAAAAATATTTTTTTGCTTTTTCCATTGGATTAAAGTCTATTTTAATTTAAATTTGTTCAGAGACCCAACCTCCTGGATTTAGAAACAGGGAGGGGGGCAGCAGTAAGCATACCTTTTGGTGATTATGGTCGTTATTTTATATTAACAAAACTTTTTGCGCGCTTTTTACTTTGGTTGAAAAAGTTTTTTTAAAATTTGTGTAGAGACCCCAATTGTACGTCGGAGATTTTAATTTTTATATTTTTTTGAAGCCAGTGGTATCGGCATTTAAAAAATAAAGTACTCGAAGTTTGTATATTTTTTTTCTCGGCATCTTGGCCCAGGCTAACTGTGGGTAAAAATGTTCTTCATAATAAAACTATTTCGAAAAATACAAAATTTTCAATTTTTTTTTCCGAAAAAAAAACCTTATAAACCCTTCCTGGGATCGAAATATACCACCACTAAAATATTTGTATTTATATTATAAAAAGCTTGTTACTTACCTGCTAAGCCAATAAATACTGTAAGGCCCAAACAAGCAAAAAACAATACGAATATCATCACAAACTCTCTTTTGTGCATGGAGTATAACCTCATCTGCACTGACCTACAATAAAATTAAAAAAAAACTATAATAGTTAATTTTGATTATCATAATGTGTACTACTTGACGTACGACATGTCGTTGCGTCTATGTCCCGTATTATTTATAGTAAATAGTAATCATAATAAATATAAAACGTAAAGTGTTTTAGAGTTGCCTTGTTCGTTTACAAATTAAATTTAAACCATAAATACAAATTAGTAGTAATTTTTATTTGAATTTACTTTACTTAAGGAAACCAAATTATGTGTGATACCTTTCGCAACGATCATGGTGATAGGCTGGTGCAATGTACTTGTCAAATTCACTAAAAATGTCGCTGAACTGCGACAAAACGTTTCGAACTTTCGCTGGCCACCCTCCTGCCGGTAGGTGATAAGCGTATCCCAGATTAGAGTCCGAATTAGGCATTTTGTTCATTATATTCCTTCGAATAATCTCTTCTTATTGTTTATATTAATATAAAACTAGATTGCGATATTAAAGTAGGTAAAAAAATTACACATATTAACACTGGAGAGTTGTTTTTTATCAAAAATACTGGAAAGACAACATGACCGTACTGCAACGTACAGTAATTGTCGGGATAGATTAGGAAAACATGGAAAAGAAGGTCATATCGATCGGATGCGCGGTTTCCATGGAGTTTTCCACATGTTGAATGTCCAGAGGCGTCGCACAGGGGAGGACTGGGTATGGTTGAAACAATTTGGCTCTTATTGTTGGTAGTATTGTGGTTTATTAACGGAGCGCTGATTTTAATTCGTTAAATTCAAGACCATCTTCCCAAGGGCTATACAATTTTAGTTCCCGAATTGCTATTTTGAGAAGTATAAAAATAAAAAAAAATATAAATAAACAATATATACAGGGTGTTTCAAAAAACGTGTGCCATCTCTCGTGAGGAGATTCCTCTCGTAAAAACAAGATTTATTTTTCATATCAACATAGGTCCGATTCTGCTTTATTTCGCAGCTACAGGGTGTTAAAGCTTTAATAATCTTTCGATTTATTATAATTTTACAAGCTTTAACATCCTGTACCTACGAAAGAAAGCAGAATCGGACCTATGTTGACATGAAAAATAAATTTTATTTTTATGTGAGGAATCTCCCCAAAAGAGATGGCACATGTTTTTTGAAACACCCTGTATATATATAAAATATAAAAATAAAACATTTTTCCCACCCCGAAAGCCTCATGTTCAGGGTTCAGGGTCGGTTATGGGGTCAACTGAAATGCATGCAAGTCATACAAAATATAATATTGATACATATTTATTTCAACGTTAATTCTAATTGTAAGAATAACAATTTATTGCAAATTAATCAATCTTCAGTATTTTAATATCCGTAAAGATAATTCTAATTAGTTTAGTGAAAAAAACAAGTGTAAAATCGCTTATTTCTGGGGCTTACTCAACCGGGTCTCACAATGCAAATTCACCTCAAATATCCATTTAGTTGGTCATTGGCAAGCAGACTCTCATTGTACATGAAAATAACAAAACAAACATTTACTGATCTGGGTAAAATTGATAGTTAAATAGTAAAACTCACCCGGGAGTACTCCGCCCCCTAGCCTATCTGGTATTCTATTCAATATATCCCATTCCATATATTCCATCTAATTCAAATATTATTCGGATCTATTGGTTAATCTTCAATAACTAGCTGGTGTCACCTGAAATAAGTATAGGGGCTATCCCCGTACGCAAATCTGCAGCTAAACAGATTCGCATCCCTAATAGTCAAAAAGACTCGCATCCTTAATAGTCATAAAGACTCGCATCCTAGTACTCAAAAGACTCGCATCCTTCACATCCTTAATAGTCATAAAGACTCGCATTCTAGTACTCAAAAGACTCGCATCCTTAATAGTCATAAAGACTCGCATCCTAATAGTCAAAAGACTCGCATCCTTAATAGTCTTAAATACTCGCATCCTAATAAGCTTAAAGACTCGCATCCTTAATAGTCTTAAATACTCGCATCGTAATAGTCAAAAGACTCGAATCCTTAATAGTCAAAAAGACTCGCATCCTAATAGTCAAAATACTCGTACCCTTAATAGTCAAAAGGACTCTCAACCTTAGTCCAAAGACTCGCAACCTCCAAATGTCAGCTCTGTGACAAAACACAACACAACACTACTTAACAGCCGTCCGTCCCGTCTACTACTGACTGACCTGCCGCGCGCCGGCAAACTAAGCCTCCTCTTACATCACATTTTTACCTGATCACAAATATTTACATCGCTTGCCAATGAATCATACTATTTTCTCTAATCGACTTTCAAGTTAATAGAGTGTTCTAGCATTGCTAGATAAATAAATAGAGAGTTTCCGAATTATAAAACCATTATTATAACCAACTTATTTTCCAAGTTTTACACAAGTATGAAAATAAAGTAAAACAAGTAAGAAAAATAGTTACAGTTTTGATAAGACAGAGCAATGCAATAGCACAAATAACTGCACGGCACTGGTATCCTCATAGACGCGAGAAAATAAAACATAAAACAATATTTTGATGAGAGGTCAAGGTCTTAGTGAGGATACACGTTAAAAACTGCACACATTTTCTTCCAGATTTACATTTAGTGGTTTTTTATGCAACCAGGAAAATTATTATTAATGTAGGTACTTCTCTCTAATACTTTTAAATCTTGGAGAAGAATTATTATATTTGATCTTAAAACATGGAAACATTCTTACTGTTATACCTTAAATAATTGTCATATTGTCAACCTCTATAACTTTATCACTGTTAAATGTCAATTTTTGTGCTGTCTATACTACTACCTTATACAGGGTGGCCCATCGAAAACGTTCCGCAAGGCATAAAGGCCAGGGTATTTTTTTTTCAAAAAATCCAAAATCACGTCAATTTTATTTGTGAGGGGGGCAACTGTTGCCTCAAAAATGATTGCAAAATCTTCAACCCTCTAAGCGGGGGTGTCATCCCCCAATTTTTTTCAAATGGGAATTGGATCAAGTGGCTTTCTATTCTCTATACTTTCCCGCTTCGTTTTTGAAAATCGGTCGAGTCATTGAGAAAATATGAAGGATTGAAATTTGAAAAGTTTATTTAAACATTTATCAGAGTAAATTATTCAGGTGCGGTAGTTGCTAGATAGCTATTCTGTGACCTTTGCGTTGCAGTTCTTTTTAACTTGCAGAAAAAGTGGAAATAATCGAACTTTATTTTAAAAATAAACTTTATTTTACTTTATTTTAAAACGTCTTCGTTGAGTTCTTGTACCAACTGAATTTTGTACGGGTGGAACTTGTGTTTTTTTAATATCCTTTGGACGCTTGTACGATTCACGCCGGTCTCATTGGCTAATTTTCTTGTACTCAGCGTACTATCTATGGCAACTTGACCCAATACAAATACCTCCATAGCTTCATTTACTACAGGATTTTCCTTCTGCCTCTTTTTATTCATAACTGAACCAGTTTCGCGAAATTTTGCTACTAACTCGCGAACAATTTTGCCATAAAGGTGTTTGTCAGGATGGCGTTCATTGAATATCTGCGCAAACCGATTGCCACATTCATTGTTTTTAAAATAAAGTTCGATTATTTCCACTTTTTCTGCAAGTGAGTACACCATAATTGTTAAAAAGTTTAACGATATTGAGAAGAACTTCAACGCACAAGTCAAAGAACAGCTATCTAGCAACTACCGTACCTGATCGAAAGAAAAAACAGCTAATTGGTCGAAGGAATTTATCCTTATCATTTACTCTGATAAATGTTTAAATTATTAGTAGTGGGAACTATCGAATGAATACTATCGAAACATTCGATAGTTGCAATTCATTCGAATAATTCGATAGCTGGTAAGAAAACATTCGTCGAAAACTATTCGAATAAAAATTATCGAATAGATGCGTCATCTGCCTTGAAATATTGTATTCTAGTAATTCGGCAGCAAAAACCATTCATTTATAAAAAAAATCATTTATCAAATTCATTTATTTGTCAGGATCGATTTTAATAAAATATAAACTGGATTTTAGTTGTCGTCCGGCGACGTAGGTTTCTTTCCTAGAAACCCGACAGCGGTCGGTGGCAATGCTATGAAAGAAGCCGGCATCTTTGATTTTTTGCGGAGTCAAATAAAGATAAGGACACATTATTTTTTTTTATTGAAGTGCTAGTATTTACACAGAAAATATATTATGAAGGGCGCTGTTGTCGTATTAGTTGGTATTAGCAAAGAATATTATTCTTTAGCATTAATTAGTTAGGGATAGTATGTCTATATGTTTTGCATTTTTTTATTAATATTCTGTTGTTACACTGCAATAATACTTTTTATTTTGGATGTAGGAGAATGATTTTTAATGTTTTTAAGCACAGACTGGTTTAATAAATAATAATAACAGTAATATAATTTGTTATACCTATTAACAACAAAATTTATAATCATTAGTAGCAAAATATAAACAACAAATAGAAGTCAAAAGTATTTATATTAGATCCTATTTAAAAATAATATAGTCTCTAAATGGCAACGTTGGTTTATTAAATAATAATAATTACAGAACTAATTTGTTATATTAACAACAAATTTTAAAATCATGAAATATAAACATTTATTAATTTTCTAAGCATGCAGTGTAATGGAAGGAAAATATAAATAAAAAATAGAAATCAAAATTATTTATATTACTTTTATTACTTTATATTACTATTCAAAAATAATATTTACTTTTGCTGGCATTTACTTTAAAAAATAAATGAAATATTTCTTCGCAAAAAACTACATGTAAGAGAATTAGCATAAACAAAATATAAACATTGTTAACTTTTTTTTTAAATTGGCACGTGTAAAACTTTCAATTTAATTTTCTCACCCCAAAATTTGAGTTCGATAACCATTTACTTAACCACATTACTTAAATATGATTATTAAGTTCAACTAATTCATATTATTAAAACATCTAAAATACAAATATGTATTTTTAAAATTAATTGTAAGTTCATCTCATCTCTCTTAAAAATTGCTACTTCTCAAAATTTCCGATTAAAAAAATGCAATCTAACCTAACCATAATATACCATATAAAATTAAATAATTGAAAGATCGGGCTACGGAAAATCACACAAATTTTCGGAAAAATTTTGACCACTTCGCACACAATCGTCAATTAATAAAAAACTACTATTTTAGTATTTTAAATATTTTAATAAACGCAAAAATAGCATAGTATTTACAAGGCGAAGTTATAAAAATTTGGAAGAACTAATAATGCACTGACGCACACAAAAATCAAACGAATACTAAATTTCATTTATCAAAATTATTCGATAGTCGTGGCGCAACGATAACCATTTAGTCGCACGGCGAGGTTGTTACATATGCTTTAGTATACAAATGAATGAATGATTTCATTCGAATAAAACCATTCGATAGTTGAAATCATTCATTCAGTAACCATTCGATAGTCTAATTCATTCGATAGTTCCCATCGCTAGTTTAAATAAACTTTTCAAATTTCAATCCTTCATATTTTCTCAATGACTCGACCGATTTTCAAAAACGAAGCGGGAAAGTATAGAGAAAAGAAAGCCCTTTTCATTGCGGTACCACTTGACCCCTTCCCATTTGAAAAAAATTGGGGGATGACACCCCCGCTTAGAGGGTTGAAGATTTTGCAATCATTTTGGGGCAAAAGTTGTCCTCCTCACAATCAAAATTGAAGTGTTTTTGAATTTTCTGAAAAAAAAATTACCCCAGCCGTTATGCTTTGCGGAACGTTTTCGATGGGCCACCCTGTAGTAGTGTCCCCGAAATGTTACAAAATCATATGTTGACAACTTAATGTATGTTGGTATTTGTCTCGTTTTGCAGGACTTGGTTTTATTGAACTTCCTGACCATTCTTCCTCAGGAGACAGACGCGTATGGTTTAAGCAACCGGATCATAGAAAAGAGGACGGCAATACAACTCAGGGTGACTCTTCTAAAGACCACAGACGCCCATTGCTGTATGAGACACCCTGTATATACTGTTTGACCAGCGGATCTGAAGCTACGGAAGGAATGCGAGAAAAAAAAATCGATATTGCCACGTTTATCTATAAAATTGCAAAATTGCCAGACATGAACTATAAATTTAATATATTTTTATTATATATAATGTGTTTAGCATATATTCTGACGTATATTACTAAGGAATTTTAACGTAGTTCATATTGTTGGATATGTTTTATTTAATAACTTATTTCTTTCATTCTGTATAATCTGCTTATTACAAAAGGTGAAGATATTTCAACGATATCATTGGCAAACCGGTATCGCCGCGCATGGCCGCCTATTCATCGAACATGATTGGCGAGAGTACGTCACAGAATTTGTTACAACGCGGTTGACATGGCCTTTACGCCTTTCCTATTCGCTAGCCTTATCCCCAACTTCACGGTTACTTCTGAAAAGAGTAGAAATATTGAATACTATTGAAATATCCAGTGGCGGTGTCATTCTTTTGATCATTATTACTTTCTTTCATTATTTTATACCGGTTATCCTAAACTTTATTTCTATATTTTTCCTATATTTAATAGTTAAAATGTGTTTTATTGTTTCGTTATCTTCTTATAATGTTTTTCGTTCGTAGTTTTTAATTATTAATATTAAGTTTGATCGTATATTTGTGTTTTAAAATGAATAAATTTGTTAAGGGTAAGACGCTACATAGCCAGGACAAGAGAAATAATAGCTAATTTATATAGGTAAGTAGAATAATAATAATGTAATTATTAGAATATTAAAATTAAATATTGGCTAAAATGAAAAGCACCCCCACATTTTACCTAAATATTTTAGCTAAACTAAAATAAATGTAAATAAACGTAGATGAAATCTCATTTGGTTTATTTCCTTGTGTTCATAACAGGGTTTGCGACGAAGAAGCTACAGAGAGTTCGCTTAAGTTGCCGCTTAAACGTAAACTTGAGCGCATATCTCTTTATACCGGAGTTAGCGTATCGGCTATAAAAAAATTCACACAGAAGATAAAAAAAGACTGGAAACTAACCCCGATAAAATGATATCCAGCCCTGGAAAGAAACGGCTACGTGAGCTCGACGACTTTGATTTCCAAGTGGTCAGAAATTTGATAAATAGATTTTATCTCGAATTCAAAGTCGCCCCCACAATTAGAAAGCTTTTGCAAAAATTGCAGGAAGAATCGAATTTTCCTTTGGCAGGGACACGCTTAGGGGTTATTAAAATCAAATGGATTTTTTGGCGTAAATGTCAAAATAACAGATAAATATTAATGGAGCGGCCCATTATATTGCAGAGAGAGATATAAATATATACGCAAAATTCGAAAATATCGCCAAGTATTATCTATTTGGATGAAACATGGGTAGACAATGACCTAACCTTTAAAAAGTGCTGGCGGAGCGATACCATATCTGGTGTAATAGGCAATATTGGATCTACTGGTGAGTAAAATTATGTTTTGTTTGCGCTTCCAAAGTTAACTATTTTCAAGATTTTTTTTTGCTGGAAATAGTTATATCTAAAATTATGTATTGTAGAAAAAAAATATAGTTAGTACAAATATATAAATAAATATACCTCAAGACTCAGTCTTGATCATTTACTGATGATGTTAACATGGTTAGCGAAACGTGCGCCCAGTGTAAAAGTAAAAGTGTTTTGGTGTATTGTGCTGATTTAGTTTTTTATTTTGCTGTGTAACACCAAAGGTTCCAACCCCCAGCTGTAATTATTTCTTATATTATATTAACAACACATAATAATAAAATTATTGAAAATATTTAAGGGAGTTTTAATAAAAGCTTTTAGTGTGTTTATCTGCTAACTCAACAGTAACGATTCAAACAGGATAAAGTTTTTTAAAAAAAAAATATTAATCTGAATATTATATTTATGATACACATTATTTTCATAAAACACCGTACGCCCATGCCTATTTTATGAATGAAATTGGGCGTGTCTTGTTTACAACTGCGTTCCCCTGTCGATACCCCGTAGCTACAGATCCGTTGGTCACACTATACATTGAGAAAAATAAAAGGCTAAAAAATGTAATAAATAAATTTTATTTTAATGATATTCTTACACATTTAAATATAACATTGAATATTATAATATCTAAACATACGGCATGAAAACATTTATTTAGATATTTTGACACAAAAAATTAAGGCTTCTTTGGAAGTAATCAAATAATACACATATATTTTCTTATAGATCTTGAAAATCAACCTCCAAAGAAGTTTCCGTTAAATAAAAATATAAGCGATCTTTTTTAATTTACATTGTTTAGTATTTACTTTGATTGTCTGGTTATATTTAGTTTAAGTAAAAAAAAAACATTGTCTTGGTATATTTTTCTTCGTAAAATATAAAAAATATTATTTTTTTCTGTATAAGTTATAACTTATTTGTTGTGGCAATAACAAATACAGGACAACATCGGTGATAGTTTTATAATTACTTTGATTTGAATAATTAGAGGTTATATATTAATAAATTTCATTAATTTTCTTTTTTGAGCAAACCCACTTGATTTAAATTTTATTTTGATTGTCTTACATCTAAATACGAGTACACACCGAAGAAAGGAAAAACGTTAAGTTCAAAGTCTTTTGTTTAGAATTATTGCCAAAATTTGACAAAAACATGTTTTTTAACTGTCTTTTTGTTTATTTATATGTTTAAGTTTGTGCGTTATAGCTATGTATTTAGAACGCCACTAGGTGTGGCAACATTGCACAAAAATCATCACTGATCAACAAATAAAATTTTATTATTATTTTAATAGACATTAACAAACGTCAACATTTGCTAAAATATAGTCTTTTTAACCCTGCTTACAGTAGAAGTAATATTTTTTTAAAAGGTTTTCCATGATTCTTATATATTTTATCTAATCACAACAACTTTTATCCCAATAGAGAAGAATTTGCATTTGATATAAACATATAGTTGTACCGTATGATAAAAAAAAGGCGTCAAAGACGGCTGGGAAATGAAAATAGGTGATAATTTTATCGAGGTCAGTCTCTAGATTGACAAAAATTGACATAAATCTTTTCAAAAGATTAAAAAAGAATAGAACGATTCCAGACGTTTAGGGCTTGGCCTCGTGAAAATTGTCGTCGATTGTCATTCTCTAGCCGTATTTGACGCTGTTTTTTTTTCTCGATTGTATGGTATTTGATAAATATTACCCTTGAAGGGTTTAATTCAGTTCTATATCAAAGGTTTTTCTTATTATTTATTGGGATAACTTAACAGAGGTCACAACAACTATTCATTTCATTGTATTGGTTTCTTTAAATACTATATACTGTATGATGCAACAATACAATAAAGTTAAGAAGATGAGTAACAATTTTCTTTTGGTAACAATATTTATTACAATCACTATTAAGGTAAAGCCCCGTCTACACCTAAGGTTTTACCTGTCAGTCTTACCCGTTCAGGCAAAACGTAGGTATCAATTAAAACGTAATGTGTAGGTAGACTTGGAGACTAGTTATGTGTATGAATTAATTATATTGCATCGTTGTATCATACAATATAAAACAAAAAAAAATTCTATCAAACATACACGTAAGTTTATTTAATCTATTCATAATTCTGTAATAAGTAATATCATCTAAATATTACTTACCTTTGAGTCTTTAGTGTTTATAAGAATTACAAAAATAATATATTCTTTTAAATAAATTAGCAAGTTGGTATATACTGATAAAACACAATGTTTTGTATGACTACTATTTAAAAAAAAAACATGCTAGTCTAGGATATACATAACTGTTTTTAAAAATTTGACGTTTAAAGTATAAAAATATAAGAAAATAATAAATTCTAATAAATTTTTAACCGTAAATTATATAGTGGTCCAAACATTATTGACACTGATCATGAACAGATATTTTTTTTTGAGATGATTTTCTCATTGTAGAATCGACTACGCCACTGTATAGTGCTTTTATCGCAGGCTCCTGTTTCTGTGGACGGACGCCGCTGACGTATTTCCCGCATTTGACAGGGAATTCATCAATTTTTCGTTCTCTTCTCGAACTGAAAAAAAATAACAAAAATAATATTTTTGAGTGAAACTAATAAATGAGAAAGAATATAATAGTTATAACCATATTTTTGTATTATATTAGAATGTCAAAGCCGTGAGACTGTATGTTGAGTTGTAACTCAAGAAAGGAGTGCACAATAGGTCTATAAGGTCAATCCCATCCTCTCACACTTTTTTGAAACACCCTGTGCAAGTGAATATATTATTTTCCTGAGATAAAAATTCTAGATATATCTTTTATAGATTTTTTTATCTCCAATCTATAAACCCCTCTCCTGCCCTCTCCTATAAAATATTATTTTAGGTTCTTTATTTATTTTTTTCTATAGCAACTGTTAAAATTGCCTTAACAAATAAAAAGAGACTGACAAATCCCATGGTAAAGAGTGGGACCGCGTTCCCGTAGCGCAACTCAGAATAACAATTTTGAAACCAGTTAGCAAGACCATGGCAGGACGTACGTCTTTATTGCTATCTTTCTTTATTATGTGTGCTTTATATGAAAAAGAAAGAGATAGGTATAAAACGTATCGTAAGACATTATCGCACATTCTGGCTGGCGGAAAAATTTAAATTAGCTATTATTAGTAGTAATTTTTTCATTCTGAAACTGAAAATTTTTTTCACTTAAACTGATTTATTTCCTATACCAATGTAAAGGAACAAAAATCATTGTGTAGGGAATAAATCAGTTTAAGTAAAATTTGCAGTTTCTTTCAGAACGAAAGAATACTACTATTATAAGGGAAATTATAAAAAAGCAAAATTGTAATTGTTTTATAAACATATTTATTTATACATAAAAATAAATAAACTTTTTATAATATAATAACAAAAAATAACAGTGTTTATTCCACCCACCTACCAATTTTAAATGCAGAAGAACTGATGACTGTTGCAGGAAACGATCGGCCAATTTTTTTAAAGGACATTAAAAATCTCATTTTCGAAAAAACTGCCTAACTGCAATAACAAAGTGAATATCCAAGCAAAGAAGACTTTACGAGAATCATGATCCTGAACCATTTTCCAGTTTTAATCCTAAAAGAAAAGTAAAATAGGTATATTAATAAAGTTTCTGGTTACTATAAACCAGCTATAAACTACCTACCGAAAAAATGAAAAAAATTTATTGTATTAATTTGTTGTGTTAAGGGAGGTTCGAAATATTTTTGACACTACTACTTCTACTTTTTTCTTAATAAGATGATAAATATAACTACTTACTTTTATTTTACCGGGTGTCTTTAACATATCTATCAGAGAAAGGGGGCACCAATGCATATAAAAAATAGATGATACTGGCTCCTGCAGCAAATAAAATAACAAATAGTATAACCTAAAATTATAAGTAACAAAATATAAATACCTATATGGAACAAAGGAATTTGTTCCCTATCCATATTCATAAGTCAATAAAATGGAGAGTTTAGAAAAAAAGGTAAATCAGCAGGGGCGGGAAAGTGAAATAGCTAAAGCGGTTCCACCGTTTCCACGGAAATCTCAAATAAAATAGTTCCAGCCCTAGCCACTAGGTGGTAGTGCAATTAATTTTTAGGTTAAGAAATTGCTACTAGTTATTGCCAGATGGCATTAAATCAGAATTTTTTTGTAGTTTCCATAGTTTCCAACGGCCATTGTCATATTATTGTCAAATTCTCAAAAAATATTGTCGTTGTCATAGCACCAATCATAATATTATCAATGTTTTTCAAACTATAATTTGTTATATGTGTTTTAATTAGACAATTCCTTTTGTTTGTGGCCCTAAAAATATAATGTAAGTTTTTATTTTTGCCATCATTTAAGTACCTATTTATATTTACCCCATTTACAAAACTTTGGGCGTATTACGTTGGTGTTGTTTTATTATAATAAACGATGTTTAAATATTTGACTTATAAATAAAAACTTTAAATAATAAATAATATTTCACATGTTTGGCTTTAATTTTATTTAATAACTGTATAAATCTTTCTGTTAAATCTTATTTTTTACACATCACAACGATACTTGTTATTAGTATTGTTGAATTTGCGTAAAAATAAGATTTTATTATCAAATATAATTATTTTAGAGTAAAATTCAATAAATACGCTCATTTAAAAAGCCCGCGCTTCGATCCATTTAAAACAAGCCCTACTCAATAGATGGCGCCACTTCTGTAGGACCATTTTTCAGTATGGCAGAGTCCATTCTTTTTCTAGCTAGGTATATTCTTTGGTAAATCACCAAAAGGGGGGGGGGGAAATTAGCAAACATGACGAATTGTCATGATGTTGTCATCTTGGTTGTCATGACGACGAAAACGAAAGGCGATTGTTCTAATTTCTATTTAGAAATTACGTTTTATATGGCTGCTTCTTTCTCTCTTGTTATATTAGAATGAGATAGTGGGCCCAATAGACGCAATGCGCAGATCAACATAAATAGAACGAAATTTTGCGTTCTGAGTTGCGCTACGGGAACGTTGTCCCTCTCTTTGCCATTTAATTTGCCAGTCTCTTTTTATTTGTTTGTCTATGCTTATATCTATCCTGATATCTATCAAAAATAGTAGATAAATAGTACTTTAACTGCAAGTGTAGATTCATAGATAATAGAAAATAATCTACTATTAAGGGTAGATTAAATGATACTTTAACAGCGAGGATAAGTTAAAAACTTTATTTCTTCTCGCACGTTTTTAATTGCTTCCATTTTTGAAAATTTTTGTATTCCTTTTCATAAGTTATTCGGGATTTAAATGGAAGTAGTTTGGATATGGCGATTGTCGCCTCAGCCTGAATATCTGTTGGTAATTTATTTATTTCGTTTTGAGCCATTTCTGGCTCCAATTCAATCAGCAATCGACACGAAAGAGAATTAAAAAATATTGACTCAAAACCGACAACTAAAGAGACAGCTTTATTTATTTGTCAAATTACATAGAAACCAACGTCAAACCAGCACAATATTTTTTCTACTCCTAATAAATTCCTTGAAATAATAATTTCTGAATATTTTTTAAAACGTAACTCGCTATGGAAAAAAATATTGTTTTATACACGACGATAAAATTGCATTATTGTCTTCCGAAATTAATTCATTAATCTTTTCGGTCGAATAAAATGATATTTTATCGTCTTGTATAAAAAATAACTATTAATCTATTATAATACAATAAAAAAGCTTAAAATGTTACATTCAAAGCACTTTTGACAGATACCAATACAACCAAAAAAAAAAGATCCCGAATCTACCTTATTATTTTTGTCCCTTCCTTATCCCAATTTCTGCACTTTCTGTGGTCTGGTTTCTTCATATACCGGAGCAGAAAAAGTATAATAAGTACGATTTACTGTCGAATTATTCTGCTGCACAGTCTCTGTGGTTGTGTGAGTCAGAGTAACCACAACACACAGTATACTAACACAGAGCAGGAACAAATACACTCCCACGATTGCTTTGATTATCTTTTTCCGTTTGCTATAACGCTGCGTCTCTTGTTTTGAATGTTGATCGCTTGATGATGTTCGCCTGCTTGATTTTTTCGAATGTTTTGAGCTTGAATTAGAGTAGGTTCTTGGGTGTTGAGGATGTTGAGATATTAAGCTACAAAATGATCAACATGTAGGTATAACTTTTTCTACTGTTTGATTTTTTTCCAGTATTTTTCTTTTCAATAGCAATGTTGTAGTGATTAACTTGAAGTTTATTTAATGTTCAGCATTAACTATTTTTTTTTAAATTTTACACAGGGTGGTGCACCTCATTCGCCTCGGTTGATTACACGAAAACGGAAAGATGCAAAAACAAAATATTTTATGGGTATATGTGGGAAGGCAATGTGCGTAATTTAAAATTATTTTCCAATAAACAGTGTGTCCCATTTTGGTTGAAATCATAGTGTATCTCCGTTATTAGTGAAGATAGAAGGGTGCGGTTTGCACAAACCTGTCCCACTTTTTCGTCAAACGGAAGATGCTGCAAACAAAATTTTCATAGCTCTCTTCATTTCTGAGCTACAGGGTCTTTTTAGAAAATTATGCAATGCCTTGGGATAAAACCCCCTGCCTCTCTGTTGTGTTGTTAAGGGTTGCGACAAGAAAATTTTGCTTATGTGTAGAACTTTTACCATAAAATGTATAGCATTGGTTTTTCACCATGACCAATATTTTTGAACTATCCAATGAACTAAAGAATAAGTTTTTCAAACGCCAAATGAAACCATGTATAGTTTATAAAGTCATATGATCTGTCTTTGTTATGAGCTTTCAAAATATATATCATTTCCCATTTCATTTCTTCTTTACCAGCAATATTGCAAATATATCAAAATTGATTAGTCGTGATAAATAACAAAAATGGAAAATGGTATTTACTAAAAATAGTCATACACATATTAAAATTTATTTGGGATTGATATATTTTACTTTTTGAAATAACTGTTACCACTGAAACTGTGAATATATTTTTCTTTTTTATAACGGGATGGGTTTGCAACATCTAAATCTTGAATCACTAAAGCATTTTTCAGGTGTTCGACATTGTTGTAGTGCCTACGATATATTTCTCTGTATTTCAAAATTCCCTAAAATCAGAAATCGAGAACTGATATGGGGAAAAGTGGGAATCGAGGAGGCTATCAATATTGTTCATTGGTTCCAACCATTGATTTGAAAAATAATAATTTAACAGTATTCTAATATTTGAATGTTCCCATCTTGTTGAAAGTATATTTCACGTAAATTAAGCAAAGGAATATCTAAAATTTCCGATACGATAGGATTATTCTTACGTGATATTTTGTATTCCAAGATTTACAAATAGCGGTAGAGAGTTAAGTTTCCCTAATATATAAAGAATTTATTAAGCGCCTCCCAAAAATAAAACAAGAGACAGATAGCAGTATAGTTTTTCTAATTCTTTTAGTTTCTTTTATTATCAATCATGGCCTACTAATAAATATGATGTTTTAATAAAAACTTTTAAATATTGCTGTAAATAG